GCTCCACCAAACACTGTCCACATTGGGAAACCATTATTGTATTTGATACCTCAGTGGTACAAGGTTCAGCATCACAGCAAACCCATAATACCTCAGTACAGCAAATTGACGAAGAGTGATGTACAAAGTAGAAGAATGTTCCTCCAAAATATAACAACACTAGTCCCATTTAGCACTAGTTGAGTATCAGCAAGTCAAATACAACTCATCATGACCCTATGAACAGAACACCTGAACTCTGTTCTCTAACATAATTTCTGCATGATTATTGAGTTTATAGAGCACACAATAGGCACTATAAATCCTTCACTAAGCACTCTGAAGTGCTTAGTAATATTGTCCATATTTTGCAGGTGAGAAAATGGAAAGTTTTTAGAGAAGCTCAGTAACTTGTGTAAGGCCAAACAAGTGTGAGTTTCAGGAGACTTGATGAAATCCAAACCCATCTGATATCCAAGCTGAAGCTTTAGAATATGCTTTTGTATGGCTTACAGTATGTAAAGTGCAGATTCTAACTTTTAGGAATAAGGCTTACACCTCACTAGATATAGGACCTAAGTTGTTAGTATAATGTCTCTGAGATTTTATTATATTTATCTGTAAAATGGAATGAATTCCTTTCTTGCTGTAGTTTTAAAATGATAAAGAATTTCTAAAATGTTTATCTTAATTCCCTAGTGGATCTGGGAAGCAAACCACAAATGGATAGTGTTTAAAGAACAGGCTTTTTGTTTCTCACAATTCAGGAGCCTGGAAGTCGGAAGTCAGGGCACCAGGTGTAGGAGGAGTGTCTCTGTAAGCTCTGGGGTCACATCTCTCTCCTTTGGCTTCTGTAGCCCTGGTATTCGTTGGTCACTTGGTGATCTTTACATGGCAGTAATCTCTTCCTACTCCTTATGCTCCCAAGTGCATGCGTGCTTCTGTGTTTAATATGTGCTCAGAACTCTGGGATGGTTTAGGTTTATGGCACACTGTACACAGGCATGGTCTGATTAACATAAAAAATTAAAACATTACAGGATTATGTCTACAGGTATAGAGGTTAGGATTCCAACATGTCATATTAGGTGGTGGTGGTTGTTATGTGCCATCGAGTTGCTTGAGACTCATAGCGACCCTATGGACAACAGCTCTAAACCCTGCTCTATCCTGAGCCAACCTTCTTGTCTCTGATATATCTACCTTCATTACACCAGTCACTGAATCAGTCCATCTCATTGAGGGTCTTCCTCTCTTGAACTGTCCCTTGACCCTCCCAAGCATGATGTCCTTCTCCAAGGAATTGGCCCTCCTTACAACATGCCCAAAGTATGTCAGATGAAGCTGCAGAATCCTTGCCTCCAAGGAGCAACCTGGTTTCACTCTTTCTAGGGAAAACCTGTTTGTCCTCCTAGCAGTTCATGATATATACAGCACTCTTCTCCAGTATCACAGTTCAAAGGCATCAATTGTTATCTGTCATCTGTAGTCTTTGTCCAGCTTTCTGATGAATAGCAAGTAATTGTGAAGACCATGAACATCAGGCACACCTTAGTCTCTAACTGACATCATTGCTCTTTACTCTGGAGAGGTTCCTGACAGCAGACTTTCCCAGAGCAATTCATCTTTTGATTTCCTGGCTGCTGGTACCAAAAGTGTTGATTGTTGAGCCAAGCAAACTGAAGCTGTTAATCTCAAATCTCTTCACAATCTAAATCTAATATTCTACCCTTTGGTTCCAAAATTTATATTTCCACATGCTAAAAACACATTTACCTTATTTCTCAAAAGCCTTATTTCAGGATCAACTCTAAGACCAAAATCTCATCTTCTTTGTCATCTCAAGTGTATTTGAGGCTATATGTGTATTCCATCCTGAGGCAAAATTCCTCTTTATGTCTTCTTGTTGTTTGCCATCAAGTTGGAACTGACCCATAGCTGATCTTCCAGTGGGTTTTCAGAGACTATAAATATCACAGAAGGAGATTGTCCATCCTTCTCCCATGAAGCAGCCAATGGAGTCAAACTCTGTGGCTTTACGATTGCAGCATAGTCTCTTACCTCTAGGCCATCAGACCTCCCTTCTTCATCTCTAGATCTGTGAAATCTAGAGCATAAGTTGTCTGTTTCTAAAGTAAAATGGTGGAATAGGTTACAAGAAACATTGTCTCATTCCAAATGGGAGAAGGTGGAGAGGAAAGAAGGTTTTGTAGCTACAAAGCAAATCTACAGTCAAGTAATTTCTTTCAGCTCTTAAAAGCTTGAAAATAAGTCTGTTCTCCAGGATCATTTGGACCTTGTCTCTAAACATCAGTCCCATCTTCCAGGCCCACTGGAACTGAAAACGGGAATCATACATGACTCAATGGCACCCAACAATAACAAACCTTAACTAATTGGATTAGTCATTTTCTCCTTTCATCATCTGTATACGCCCTCCAAAAAACGATTATTAAATCTACTGAACTAACCATCAATGTTGTTCTTGTTATGTACTGTAGAGTAGGAACCAACTCATAGCTGACCCTCTGGTGTGTTTTCACAGATGCATGGGAAGAAATTGCCCATCCTTCTCCCACAGAGCAGCTGGTGGCCTTTGGAATTGCAGTACAGCTTCTTGCCACTAGGCCATCAGAGCTCCCTCCTAAATATCAATACACTTGAAATTATAATATGGGTTATATTGCAACATCAAGAAGAAAACAATCCTCACCATTGGACTAATAAGGGTCATCATGATAGATGGAGAAAAGATTGAAGTTGTTAATGATTTCATCTAACTTGGATTCCCAAGAAATACCCTTTGAAATTAAAAGACATATTGCATTGGGTAAATTAGCTGTCAAGACCTTCTCCAAGATGTTAAGAAGCAAGTGTATCAGTTTAAAGGCCAAGGTGTATCTGCGTCAATCCGCAGATTTTTTTTTCAGGTACTTGTTACGCCACTGAAAGTTGGATAATCTCTAAGGATAGTAGAAGAATCAATGCCTTTTGAGCATAGTGTTGGAAAAGAGTACTGAACATGACAAAAAAAGAAATATGTCTTGGAGAAAATGCAAACAGGGTGCTCCTTGGAGGCACAGATGGTGAAACTTCATAGCACACATTTGGGCATGTTGTTGTACTAGCTATGGATCTACTGTTTACACAGACTTAATGATAGTGAATTTATAGGACTAAGACAGACTTGGACCAAAAACAACTGAGTAACATACATTTTTATATCCGTTGGGAAACAAAAACATTTTTCAAGGCTCTGACTACATACTTGTATGTCTTTTTTACTTCCACTTATCCTGTCAATCTACTTCCATTATTACATACAGAACTATAAATCTCCATTAATAAAATCAGTTTGAAAATGAAACTGGGTAAATGCTTGTCTTTAATCTCCTTATCATTTGCAGTTGTTGAGTGTATACCCAGTTCTGGTTTTATAGCTAGAGTGAATCCTCAGGCTTTTAAAGTTGTAACATGACTTCTATAAGGAGAATGCATCAAAGATACAGGTTTATGGAAAAGGAAAAGAATTGAACTTTCTGCTTTTAATCCACCACCTCTGCCTGTATCCAGCATTCTTTCTTTTGTCTTGTCTCCTTTAATCTTCATATTGAGAGTATGTATCAATCCTGTGGCAGCAATGACTTTAGTGTCTGTTTTATCTAATTTTTCTCACCAGGACCTAAAGTCAAAGGGAAGTACTGCCAAATATAACTTCTACCTAGAGAACCACTTTGTAGAAAACATGTTTTAAAACAATAATAAAATAAAACATGTTCGATTGTATTTTTATTTTTTTAATTGTGATTTTAGTGTACATTTACAGAAAGAATACGTTTTCATTCATTCCTTGATAGACATTTTTCTCCCCTCTCCCCGCCCCCATTCACTTTGCTGCATGTCTTGTTCCAGATTTCTAACAGCCATACATACAATATCTAATCATCTTTTCCTTTCAGATAGCCCTTCCCTTCACCTAGTCCAGTTAACTGTATTTTTTGAGTGTCTCATGCCATTATACAAGGTTTTCCTTGCATTGAAAAACAAGGAACTAATGACATATTATGCAAAATGGATGACCCTGGAGGACATTATGCTGAGTAAAATATCTCAGCCACAAAAGGACAAATATTGCATAGGGCCACTGTTGTAAAACGGGACTGACATCAGGGCTGAAAGAAGACAGAAAAGGAGGGGAGGAATGATGCATATTCATTGAAACAGATGCGGGAGAGAGCTGTTTAAAAGGGATATATGAATGGGTATTGTCATTATAGAAGTCCAGAATGAAGGCTGCAAAGTGGAGTGAACTTGTGGGGTGGGATTGCATAACAATGAAAGAGTTTTTCTTTTCAAGGAGAAAAGTGATTAGGGTGAGGGGTGGGCAGGGAGAAAAGTGCAACAATGAATGACTGGAAATCCTAAGTCTCTGTAAACTTTCATTAAAATTAATTTTTAAAAAAAGTTTTTTCTTGTTATTGTGTCTAGTTGAATATACACCCTCATTAAAATGCATACTGTAAAAGCAGTTTTAAATTTGATACTAATTTTTAAAAAATTTAGTTTTATATTTGATCCTAATTCTCATCTTAGTAAAATTAAAATTTAGGCTAGTATGATTTTTGTATAGCACATTCTTTCTTTAAATTTAAAGGAAACAAATCAACCAAGCTTTAATTATCATTATGATATAGGCAAAATTTTAAAATGTTATTTGGGAAAATACGCTTTAAATTTTACACACAGACATGTATATGATTTCCAAGGCTGGAAATCTCAACAGAGAAGACTACTTCATCTTTCTCCTGAGAAGCGATTGGTGGGATTAAACCACTAACCTTTTGCTTAGGATCCCAACACAGAACCCAGTAAGCCACCAGGAGGACACATACACAGTCACTATGAGTTGAAACTGACAACAGCAGGTAACACACACACATACACACACACACACACATATAACTACACACACAGACACACATGCATGCACACATACTCATCCAGTCACCTTTTAGACCATATTAAAACAATTTAAAGTCTCCGAAATTCCATTTTCCTATTCCTGTACAGTTCTGTGCTACTCCTGCGCAGTCCTGCAGAGAGGAGTCAAGCTGGCAGACTGTGTCAATGCTGGTCCCATTAATAAGATTTGCATCATCTCCTTCAATCAAAGGGTCCCACTGATCAAAATCTCTCTTGAGCCCTGCAAGATACAAATAAGCTACATTAATAAGCAGGTCAATTTTTTTAAAGCCTTGGACAGCCGAATGCCTCCAGGTGGCACTGTAGAATAACAAATTACTCAAGTGTCTGCAGAATAAGGAATTCTGAGTTGGCTGTCCCGTCGTTGAGGAGGTGTCTGAGTTAGAAAGAGGTGAAGCGCTTGTTATTAGTGTATCAACCTCGAGGTCCACCTCAATCATCACAGGAAGATCTTTAGTATAAGCAGGTAGTCTTGTTTCCTAAACTGTATAATATATTGTTACTGTTTGGATGCCCCTGAGGAAATTTTTGACGCATGGGGCCCCAAAAGACTGAGTATCACAGCCTCATAGAGTTTTCTTGACTGTAATCTTTGAAGGAAACAGATTTTCAAGTCCTTCTCCATCTCAGCTACTAGGTGGATTTGAACTTTAAATCCTCTTGTTAGTAGCCAAGTGCTTAACTTGCACCACAGGAGCTACTCACAGAGCTGTTCTTATGTGCCACTGAATCAACTGTAACTCATAGCTACCCTTTGAACAAAAGGTCAGAACCTTGTCCTATCCTGGGCCATCTTCACCATCTCCAACATACTCAAGACAATTTGTTACATCACTTATAAAGCAGTAGCAAACATTAAATTTTCATATTTTTAACTGATTTACTACTACTGTGAACCCATTAGAGGCAGTTGAAATGGAAGTAGAGTTATATATATATATAAAGACATATTTTTTTTCCTAAATATTATCTGGTTTGTTGTCATGAAAAGAGTATTATAGTTTCTTACCTAAATGCTTCTGTAAGAATGCTAAGGAGGCTTTGTTGCAAAGACGAATTGCTACAGTGGAATCTATGTCTCCTTTTAATTTAAATAAGTGTCCAGTTATTTTGCCTGAAGTAAATGTGAAGTCATCAAAATTCTGATGGACTGAGCCCCTGAAAGATAAAAGAGGCAAATACATATCACAAGCTGTTGTTATGTGTGCTGTTGAGTCGTCTAAACCCTTTCCTACCTTGTGCCAATCTTATTGCCTCTGACACATCTACTTCCATAACCCCAGTCACTGAATTGATCCATCTCATTGAGGGTCTTCCTCTCTTGCACTGTCCCTCCAACCTCCAAACTATGACATCCCTCTACAAGGACTAGTCCCTCCTTTCAACATGCCCAAAATATGTCAGATGAAGCTTCAGAATCCTTACCTGCAAGAAGCAGCCTGGTCTCACTCTCTCTAGGATGAACCTGTTTGGTCTCCTAGGAGTCCATGGTATATTCAGTACTCTTCTCCAGCACCACAGCTGAAAGGTATCAATTCTCCTTCTATCATCCCTAGTCATTGTGCAGCTTTTTGATGCATAGCATGTAATTGCAAAGACCATGGCCTGAATCAGGCGCACCTTAGTCTCCAGACTGACATTGTTGCTCTCCAGTACTTTGGAGATGTCACTGACACATAGTTTGATAAAAATTCTTTTTGTCATAGTTGTTAGGTGCTATCAAGTCGACTATGACTCGTAGTGGCTCTAAGAACAATAGATTTTTACCCTGCCCTATCCTGCACCATTCTCATGATCTTTGTCCTGCTCAAGCCCACTGGTGGAGGGCTATTCATAAATCTGTCTTTAAGTGAGGTGAAGTTTCACGTCTAAGGAACAGTCTGTTTGTACTTCCTTAAAGACAGATTTATGGGGGGGAAGGGGGGTTGGCAGTTCTTTTTGTAGTTAGGGTAAAAGAAACACACTTGTCTAGATGTTCTACTCACTGTAGACTAGTTATATATATAAACTGCAGGTTTGACCAAGTTAGATGCATTTCAGAGTTAGATGCTCTTCATGTAGAAGCTCTGACATATTTATCTCTCAGTTTTTAGTAAGTTCAACTACTTCCAACTTGAATAAGGGGAAAGTTTTGAAGGAGTTGTGAACTCAGAGTCAAAACCAGCCTATTCACCACTATCATTTACTTGATAATTATCTGATGGCAGACAAATCATTTTTTTAAAAAAATGTAATTATTTGTGCATGTGTGTGTGTGTGTGTGTGTGTGTACTGTCAAATCAGATCTGACTGCTACAGGAGGAGATTGTCTCTACTTCTCCAGCAGAGCATCTGGTGGATTCAAACAGTACACCTCTAAGATTGCAGTGCAGCTTCTTGCCACTAGGCCACCAGAGCTCCCTGACAAATCACTTTTGATGGACACTTTGATTCAATATCTTAAAATAAACAGATCAACCAACAGCTTTTTTAAAAGTTGCATTTTTTTTAAACTAAGTGCTAAATAAATACCATTCACACTGCTCTCTAAATCAGCATCAACAACCTAACATGAAAAAGAATGGCTTTTAGGAGCTCGTGATCTTCTCTTTCTGAGATATTTGACATTTGATGACTCTTGTTTCCTCTCTCTCCCTCAGTCTCCCTCTCTGGTTCCTTCCATCACACCCTCCATTCTGACTTTAACTACTCTGTACTCCCACCAGTTAAATGTAGAGACGCCTCAAGATTCAACTCTCAGATCAATTCTTCTCTCAGTTTGCACTCTCATCCACTCCAAAGGTTGTATTCATGATATCAAAGAAAGTCTATACATTTCCTGTCTATGGTTAGGCATCGCTCCATGGAAATCCTAGTTTCAAAGTAAAGAATTCCAATGTTAAAACACAACATTGCCTGCCCTTGTGACATACACTCTTTATGTCTCCACTTCTTATAAGCAAACACCATTCTTTCTGTCTTCTAAGCTCAAGGAAGAGCCATGTGTCTCTCTCCCTCTCTTACTCAGATCCCAGTCAAAACTTGAGGGTCAGAAGCATGTGCCAATACAGACTGGAGAACAAAAAAGCCAAGCAGAAAAGCCTGAATGTCACCAACAAAGAATGGCCCAAGGAAGAGAAAGGGAAGTAGTAGATTGAATGATAGAGAAAGCATGCAGAAATAAGGTCTTATTATCCAAGAATAGAGAAATAGGGGCAACCAACAATGTCAAGTGGATACGGAAGATGGTGCTTCCCCAGAGGCTGTGGGATGTGACATGTAGGAGTTTAGAGTCTTTGCAGACATTTTCTATAGATATTAGACTACAGACAGAGAGACATATAAACTCAGCGGATCTTTCAAGAATTCTAGCAAAGAAGAAAAGCCAAAGATAAAGAGCCTACTAAAAACAATAGAGTTGAGAAAAACTTAGAGGCTCTGTGTTATTTGTTTTTTTCGAATGTGACAGACTTGGACATACAAGTAGGATAAATTAGTCTTTACTTGAAATATATAGACTGTTTTTCCTTCACCGTCTATCTAAACTCTCTTCATCTTTTAAATCTAGATCCATCTCTTCCAAAGAAGCCTGACCATATCATAAAGAAGAGACTCTTAGTTCTCTGACCCTATACAGATTATTGTATCTATTTTATGTACTTCCTCCCTGGTATCCACTTCTTAAATGTTCTCTGTACATCAATACTCTCCCATATATTTTTAATTTTCAAAAATAGTAAATACATTTAAAAACTAAGATTATCTAATACTTTCCCTTACTGAAAGCCAACAATTCTTTTAACACATCTATAATATCAACCATGGACTGCTAAGAGAACGAACAGGTCAGTTCTGGAGAGGGTGAAACCAGGCTGCTCCTTGGAGGCAAGGGTTCTGAAGTTTTGTCTGACATACTTTAGACAAGTTGCAAGGAGGGATCAGTCTTAGGAGAGGAACATCATGTTTAGGGACGGGGGTGGAGGGACAGCACAGAAGAGGAAGACCTTTGATGAGTTGGATGAATTCAGTGACTGGGGTAATGGGGGCAGGTGTGTCAGAGATAATAGGATTGGCACAGGGTAGAGCAGGGTTTCGGGTTGTTGTACTTAGGGTCACTATTAGTCACAGGCAACTTGACAACACCTAACAACAACAACAACAATGTCAACCAAATGAGATCTGTTGATATTTACTCAAGTTTGAGCTTTCTGTCTTAGATAAGGCGATTAAGTCACTTACTAATAATACTTACTTGATGGTGATCATCTTCCTTTCTCTATCATGTGAATATAACTTTTTCATTTTGCAGATATTGGCACAATATTGGAATTGTTCAGAGTTGATAAAAAAGAGGGGCTGCTGAACCCTGGAATACACTTCTTCACCCAGTGGCTGCATCCACGGATCTAAGGCAATACCACATCTGTAGATATTTGTTGACAAATGATAATGAAAATTTAAAAAAAAAGAAAACATATTGAGCATAAAATTTGAAAATGTTTAAACTTTCAGTTTAAAAGTAAGCTTATCATATGTTTCCTGATTTTCTGGATCCTTTTGTGTTATGTGTTAACTGAATGAAAGAAGAAAAACAATCACTTCTACTGAAATAGATTTCAAGAAATGTAAAGTGAAGGTTCACATATGACCCTCGCAAGGAACTCCAATGTTAAAACACAACATTGCCTTCACTTGTGACACACACTCTTTATGTCTCCACTTCTTATAAGCAAACACCATTCTTTCCTCGTCACTTCCTACTTGGTTGTCTCTACAGGAGTTCACCAGTCTGGGATGAAGTGATATATGAAACAAAAAAGTCTGCAACTTTAGAGACTAGGATCTGATACCAACTCCTACACAAAAATACCTTTCTATAAATTTTAGACCTACATCCATTTTAAAGACAGGAAGGGAAAATTCTAATAAAAAAAGACCTACCTATTGGAAATGTCCTAGAAATACTCTTTTTTAAAAAATTTTTATTTTATACTGGTTTACTAACAAAGTTTGTACATGTTGTGTTTCACACCCGATCTTTCCTATTTTCTTCACTCGCTCACCCATCTAATTGTGCATCCCTATGATTAATGCCTCCCACTCCCCTACCCCATCCTCAGGCCCCTACTTCCACCCTCCCCCACTTCCTTGGATCCTCATTCTTGTTCTACAATAATGGTCTTTTATAATATTAGTCCTTATGGGACTGACCGAGTTTCCTTAGAGTAAGCTCTCCAGTTTCTCCCAAGTTGGGTAGAGATTTACAAAATCATTGTTCCTGCGTGCTGTGTAGTATTCCATCATGTACCACAATTTCTCAATCCATTTGATTAATTTGGACATTTGGGTTATTTCCATGTTCTTATGATGGTGAAACACGGTGCTATGAACATTTGTGTACAAGTGGCCATTTATGCTTCAGTTCTCATTCTCTCAAGGTATATTCAGAGTAGCGGAATTAGCTGGGCCATATGGAATTTCTATGTTCAGCTTTCTGAATAAGCACCAAAGTGCCTTCCAGAGTGGTTGCACCATTTTACAATTCCATCAACAATATATGGTGAGAGTTCCTATCTCACCATATCCTCTCCAACATTTCTTACTTGCTGTCCTGTTGTTGTACGTTGCCATTGCTACTGGAGTGAGATGGTATCTCATTGTGGTTTTGATTTGTATCTCTCTTTTGCCAGTGATTTTGAGCACTTCTTCATGTATTGCTGGCCATCTGAGGATCTTCCTCCATGAAAATTCTTTCCATGTCTTTTGCACATTTTATAATTGGGTTATCAGTCTTTCTTTTGGAGGCCCTGTAGAATTCATATGAAACCCTTGTCAGACATGGTATTGCTGAAGTCAGTAGGTTTTCTTTTCACTCTGTTGGAAAGTGTTTTTGATGAACAAAGGGATTTAATCTTTAGAAGATCCTATTCATCAATTTTATCTTCTCCAGATCGAGCATTTCTGGCTGTATTTGGTAGTATCTTTATACCATAGACTAGGACGTCTAAGCTGGATCCCAGTTTGTCTCTGATGAGCTTTATGGATTTGGGCTTACTCCCTGTTCTCTGATCCACTTTAAGTTGATTTTTGTGTATGGTGTGAGATGTGGATCCAGTTTCAGCTTTCTGTAAATAGGAGTCAGTTTTGCCAGCACCATTTGTTGAAGATAGAAATACTCTTTAAGATGGAAATAGTATTATAAGCACTATGCCACAAAAGAAAAAAAAATATGTATTTGTGGTTGAGTACCATTGCGTGAGAACAAATCTATAGCTGACCTCCAGCGGGGTTTTCAAGAGCAGTTAATTGCATGAGAGTAGACTGCCCATCCTTCTCCCACAGAGCAGCTGGGAGATTTGAACCACATGCACTGGGAATTGCAGCACACATTCTTATCACCAGGCCATGTGTGTGTTTATGTATGACTGTATGTTTATGTATATATGTATATGTAAATATGTATTTGTATATATGTTGTTGTTATGTTTCATTAAGTCACTTCTTATGACTCATAGCGACCCTATAGCCCTTAACCCTGCTTTATCCTTTGCCAACCTCACTGTATCTGACACACCTACTCCCATTACACCAATCACTAAATCAATCGATCTCATCGAGGGTCTTCCTCTCTTGCACTGTCTCTCTACCCTCCCAAACATGTCCCTCTCCAAGGACTGGTTCCTCCTTGCAACATGCCAAAAGTATATCAGAAGAAGCTTCAGGTTCCTTGCATGCAAGGAGCAGACCATTTTCACCCTCTCCAGGACAAACCTGTTTGTTCTCCTAGCAGTCCATGGTATATTCAGCACTCTTCTCCAGCACCACAGCCCAAAGGCATCAATTCTTTTTCTGTCATTCCTAGTCATTGTCCAGCTCTCTGACACATAGCACACAATTACACAGACTAAAGTCTGGATCAGGCACACCTTAGTCTCTAGCCTGACATCATTGTTCTTCAGTACTCTGGATAGCTGACTTTCCCAATGCAATTCATCTCTTGATTTCCTGGCTGCTGGTACCAAGAGTATTGATTGTGGAGCCAAGTAAACTAAAACAGTTAACACTCTCAATATCTTCACCATCCATTATGATGCTGCCAATTGGCGCGGTGGTGAGAATCTTTGTTTTCTTGATGTTGAGCTTCAATTCATATTGAAGGCTTCAGTCCTTGACCTTCTGCAGCAAATGCTTCAGGTCCTTCTCAGTTTCAGTAAGCAGGGTTGTGTCATCTGCATAACATAGGTTGTTGATGAATCTTCTTCAAATCCTGATTCTACATTCCTCCTCATATAGTTCAGCCTCCCAGATGATCTATTCTGCATGCAGATTGAAAAGGTGTGGAGACATAATACATCCCTGGTGGATGCCCTTCCCTATTTTGAACCATGCAGTGGTGTCTCCTTGCTCTAGTTCTGATGAATTCTTCCTAGTTCAAGTATAGGTTTCGCATTAGCACAATCAAATGTTCTGGGATTCCCATTCTTGTCAGAGTCAACCAGTTTGTTGTCCACACAGTCAAAAGCCTTTGCATAGTCAATGAGACACAGATAGACATTCCTCTGATACTCTCTGCTTTCTGCCAAGATCCATCTAACATTAGTTATAATATTCCTAGTACCACAACCTCTTCTAAACCCAGCATGCACATCTGGCAGTTATCTGATGACATGTTACTCCAGTCGTTTTTGGATAATTTTCAGCAGAATCTTGCTTGCATGTGATATTAATGGTATTGTTCTATAATTTCTGCACTCTGTCAGGACACCTTTCTTTGGAATGGTAACAAATATCAATCTCTTCTAGTCAGTTGGCCAGGTGGCTGAACACACACACACACACACACACACACACACACACACACACTCTCTTAATGAAAATGTTCGACTCTTTGGAACAGAAAAACAAGAATGATAAAGAAATCATTGAAAGAGAGAACGTTTAACAGTAAAAGAAATGGACAGGTTTCGTCAAGGAACAGATAGATGACTGATTGATATACATATATCTCACAATTTATATATATATGTGTGTGTGTGTATGTAATCATACAAACAGTATGCATGTAGGTATGTGTGTGTATATATATATATATATATAAGATTGATATATATGTATTATTGTATACATTGAGGCCTTTTGTTCATAGGGTTATTATGAGTCATGCTCAACTTGAAGGCAAGCAACAACCACCACCACCACCACCACTGAGTCAGAACCAACATTTTTAGTTACTATTAATTTTAATGAAAATTTACAGAGATTTTGGATTTCCATTCATTCATTGTTACACTTTTCTCCCTGCTCAACTCCCCCCGCCCCAGTTCACTTTTCTCTTTGAAAAGTAAAATAATTTTATTGTTATACAATCCCTTCCTCCAAGAACCAACTCTTAGTTGACTCTCCAGTGGGTTTTCAGATGCAGTTAATCACATAAGAGATTACTTATCATTCTCCTGAGGAATAGCTGGTAGATTTGAACTATGTGCTTTTTGAATTGCAGTACAACTTCTTACCAGTAGGCTACCAGAGCTTCCCTATATGTACATACATACATGCATACATACATACATACCCACCTCTGTGTGTGTGTGTACAGAGGGATACACGGACACACACACACACACACACACACACACACAGTATTTACAGAGGCAAAGGCAGAGTTGTAAAACTAAAATTGTGCCTTCCTCACTTAGAATTTTATTATATATATATATACACACATATATGTATAAATGCACTACATAATCCTTCTTTTCTTTCACCCACCCAAGAATTTACTGTTCTCTCACTTTACGGCACCTTGTTTTCTTACCTGAACCTCCGGTCTTCACTAAGAGCCTGAATAGTAGTTGCTCCACCAAAAGAATGTCCAATGATTGCTATTTTATTCCTATCGATAGAGCCCTATGTGGAAAAGCATAATACAAATTCATAACAACCTCACAGCAAGCTAGAAGCACAGACTAAAGGATTTAGTGATGCCTTATGCAGTTTTCCAGGAACATAGGTAAGTATCTGGACTTTTTCTCATAAAATAGAAAATACTTATCTACAGATATGTGGTATGTGTATATACTCATGTGTATGTATTTGTGTATACTGAGAATTTATAAAAATGCAAAAGTAACTTTAATGGATCTTCCAGGCACCCATACATAAAACATCGGTGCCAACCTCTGCATTCGCTCCCTTGGTCCCTCCCTTGGTCCATCCATACATGTTCATTTTGTGAGTATTTATTGAGAACTTGCTCTGTGCCAGGCCACAGTAGACTCCTTTTCAATCTACTAAAGAAGAAAGAGAGACAAGTGTGTGATGCAAATTCAATGATGGCATTGAAAATACAAGATAAACACCTAATCTATCCCAAGGGTAAGCACTCGGGTCGACATAAGTAAGCTTCTTGGTGGATATGATGCTTAACTTGAATCTTGAATAGTAAGCAAGAATTAGCCAGTAGGACGGGTGTTTAAGGCACAATGGCATGGAGTCAGGAGTGAGGAGCCAGTTGAGGAATAACAAGTTTATATCTGGAGAGCAGACAATATTTAATGCTTAAATTGAAGTACTTGTTTTAAGATCAGAAGATCAAAGAATACAGCCTTCCATAATAATTACATCTCAACATCAAGAAGACAAAAATCTTCACCACTGGACATCATGGCAGCATCATGATAGAGGGAGAAAAGATTAATGTCAAATATTTCATTTTATTTGGATACACAATCAACACCGAGAGTAATAGCAATAAAGAAACCAGATGATGTGCTATACATTGGGGAAAATCTGCTGTCAAGGACCTCTCCAATATGTTAAAGCAAGGACACCAATTATAAGACTAAAGTGTGCCTGATCCAGGCCACAGTCTTTTCAATTACATCCTATGTATCTGAAAGCTGGACAATAGTATGACAGAAGAACTGATGACTTTGAGTTGTGGTGTTAGAAAAAAGTACTGACTATCTCATTGACTGTCAAAGCAACAAATAAAATCTGTTTTGGAGGAAGTGAAACCAAGGTCCTCCTTAGAGTCAAGGATGGTAAAACTTTATCTCACACACTTAGGACATGTGGTAAGAAGAAGGTCTTTCTTGGAAAGGACACAATGCTGGGAAAGGGAGAGGGCCCGAGAAAGAAAAACCCGTCACCAAGATGGATGGACACATTGCTGGTTGCAATGGGCTTGAACACGTCAGAGATGGTGAGAATGGCACAGGCTAGGGCAAGGTTCAGATCTGTGGGTCAGAAGGTTGCTCTAAAGTTTGATATTTCCTCAAAAAGCTGAACACAGAAATTTATAGGATCCAACTATTCCACTGCTTGGAATATACTCCAAGGGAATTAGAACTGAGATGCAAATGGAGATTTGTACACCCAAGTTGGTAGCAGCATTATTCATGATTGCAAGAACATGGAAACAACCAAAATATCCAACCAAATGGATTGAGAAATTATGGTACATTCACATGATGGAATACTATGCAGCACTCAGGAGCAACTATTTTGAAAATTACTATATAACTTGGGCAAGACTGTAAGGGCATTATGCTGAGTGAACTAACGCAGTCTTATAAGGATAAATACCGCATAGCACTGTTGTAAAAACTGAAAGGTAACTAGTAAAACATGTATGAGGATCTAAGGTGGAGAGAATGGGAGCAGAGAGGTGAGGACGGGCAGGGGGGAAAATCACAGGGTCACACAATTTGGTGGGTGAAGAGAGGTGGGGTGAAGGAAAGTGGTAGGCATAGTTCAATGATGATTGATTTTATAAAATATAATGATGAGAAGCACAGATAGAAATTCCTCTGGCAGTTGTCAGAACATAACAGGGAGACACTACATGGTTCAAAATCAAGAAGGGGGTCCATCAGGGATGTATTTTGTCTCCATACCTTTTCAATATGTATGCAGAACATATCATCTGAGATGCTGGGCTGTATGAGGAGGAATGTGGCTTCTGAATTGGTGGAAGAGTCATCAACAACCTGCATTACGCAGATGACACAACCCTGCTTGCTGAAACTAAGGAGGACCTGAAGCGCTTGCTGCAGAAGGTCAGGGACTGCAGACTTCAATATGGATTGAAGTTCAACATCAAGAAAACAAAGATTCTCACCACTAGGCCAAGTGACAACATCATGATAGATGGTGAAGAGATTGAGATAGTTAACAGTTTTAGTTTACTTGGCTCCACTGTCAACACTCTTGGTACCAGCAGCCAGGAAATCAAGATGAATTGCATTGGGAAAGTCAACTGTGAGGGACCTCTCCAGAGTACTGAAGAGCAACGACGTCAGGCTGGAGACTAAGGTGCACCTGATCCGGGATATAGTCTTCGCAATTATGTGCTATGCATTGGAGAGTTGGACAGTGACTAAGGATGATAGAAAGATAATTGATGCCTTCGAGTTGTAGTGCTGGAGAAGAATGTTGACTATACCATGGGCTGCTAGGAGACAAACAGGTTTGAACTCGAGAGGGCGAAACTAGGCTGCTCCTTGGAGTCAAGGATTCTGAAGCTTCGTCTGACATACTTTGGGCATATTGTGAGGAGGGACTGGTCCTTGGAGAGGGACATCATGTTTGGGAGAGTGGAGGGACAATGCAGGAGAGGAAGACTCTTGATGAGATGGATTGATTCTGTGATTGAGGTGGTGGGAATGAGTGTGCTGGAGACAGCGAGGCTGGCACAGGACAGAGCAGCATTTAGGGGTTTGTAAATAGGGTTGCTATGAGTTGCAAGCAACTTGCCAGCACATAACAACAACAATGAATGAGAATGATTGTCTAAAACACAATGTACATGAACTTTGTATGTAAACCAATGTAAAATTTAAAAAAAAACACTTAAAAATGGAAAAGAATAATTAATAAATAAATAAGGTCGCTAAGAGTTGTATTTGACTCAATGGCACCTAACAATAACAACAAGAACAATGTACTGGTGCTTTGATCTCTTCCCAGGATGTCTCCCAACCCCAAATACACACTACTGAATCTTTGTTGTCATCTGCTGTCTCTTCTGCTTTAGCCTGATAGCTTCCCCATCTTCTCCCACATTTTGCTCAAACCTATTTACCAAGTTTTCAGGATCAAGTTCAAAAGCATTTAAAAGCTTTCCATGGAATTCTATGTATTATATGTATGTATGTGTGTGTATGTGTATTTAAATATATTAAATTATATGTAATGCATATATATTTATTATTATATGATGCAGAAACACATGAAAGTGCCATTACTTTGGGTCAAAACTATTTCACTAATGTCAATTTCAATTATATTTAAAATGAATGAGATCCTCCTTACTGTAATAGCTTGTGTGTATGTAGCACTTAATATGTTACACCTTGTAATACAGCAGAAAAGTAAGCATTAATAAAGAACAAGTATATATATCATGTCATACATACATATTTGATAATTAAAAATCTGGAACAGGACAAGCATCAATTACGAAGTGATTTCAGGGTGGTGAAGGAAGAAAAATGTGGATGAATGAATGAATGAATAAAAACCAGTCTCTCTGTAAACTTTACTAAAATTAAAAAAAAAAAGAGCCTAAGAGGGTAATGGCTTTTTAAGCTCACCTTATAAATCTCTGGTCTTCACTAAGGGGTCATGGGTTTTTTTTAGCTTACCTTCAGTTGTTTCATATCAAAGTCTGTATTTAACACATTCTTCACTGATATTCCACGGTCAAGGTCAAGAATCAAACTGAGGGCTTGGGAACACTCCTGTGCTCTTCTCTTTACCTAATCAAAGGAGGAAATGACAAAGTAAAATGTTACATATCTTACTGTAAAGGTGAGATAGAGATTGCATGTAAGGGAAAACTATTGGATGATAAACAATTAGAAATATATAAACAAAAATGATGACTTGGATAGTACCTTTGGGGCTGAGGATATCTTAGTCCAAAATGACTCTGTTACAAATCCACAGTGTGAGCTCTGATTATCTACTTACCTGCTCTGAGCTTTTATTTATTGTATGACCTTATTACACTATGAATGATATCTGGGTAGGACCAATTGTGGTAACATAGGTAAGCATCTATTACAGAGCTGGGAACAAAGGTGGCAGCCAATGTGATTATTTCGTTTAATTGCAAAAGTCTCTAAAATAGGCACTGTTACTATTTATTATGTCAGGACACACAAAATAGGAAAGCACAGAGACTACGTAACTTGTCCAGTAAAATCACCCAGTCAGGTGTTAGAGGCAGGATTCAAACTCAAAAGGTTGCATAGTGGAGTGTACTCGGGTCGGGGGCGAGGCGGGGGGAGAGGTGTTGTATACCTGTGAAGGATTTTTTTCTTTTACTTTTCGAAGAGAAGAGCCAACTGAGGGGAAGGGTGGGCAGGGAGAAAAGTGCAACAATGAATGAATGGAAATCCAAAATCTCTGCAAACGTTCACTGGATAAATTGTGTATACTGCACTGAAACAGATGAGGGACTGAATAATTTAAAAGCAATGTATGATAGGGTATTATGGTTATCACAAGAGTCCACAATAAAGGTTGCATAGTGGAATGTACTTGGGGTGGTGGGAGGAGTGCGGGGAGATTGTGTACCAGGGAGGGAGTCTTTCTTTTACTTT